ACACAAAGGGGGTAGAAGGACACCTGATCACATAACACAAAGGGGGTAGAAGGACACCTGATCACATGACACAAAGGGGGTAGAAGGACACCTGATCACATGACACAAAGGGGGTAGAAGGACACCTGATCACATGACACAAATGGGTTAGAAGGACATCTGATCACAGGACACTGAGAGGTTATTAGGACATCTGATCACATGACACAAATGGGGTAGAAGGATACTTGATCACATGACACAAATGGGGTTGAAGGACACCTGATCACATGACACAAATGGGGTAGAAGGACACCTGATCACATGATACTGAGAGGTTATTAGGACATCTGATCACATGACACAAATGGGGTTGAAGGACACCTGATCACATGACACAAATGGGGTAGAAGGACACCTGATCACATGACACAAATGGGGTAGAAGGACACCTGATCACATGACACAAATGGGGTTGAAGGACACCTGATCACATGACACAAATGGGGTAGAAGGACACCTGATCACATGACACAAATGGGGTAGAAGGACACCTGGTCACATGACACTGAGAGGTTATTAGGACACTTGATCACATGACACAAATGGGGTAGAAGGACACCTGATCACATGACACAAATGGGGTTGAAGGACACCTGATCACATGACACAGGATGCTGATGATGGGTAATATATAAGCGGTGCCCATACCTGCTCTCACATCTGATCCCCTCCCCCTTTGTGTCTGCAGAGACCCTTGCAGCGGCTAAAGAGGAGCAGATTGAAATTCAGCAGACACTGGACCAGACGTTGGTGGAGTTGAACAACATGTAATGATGACGTTTCGGCACGGATCCTCCATGTTTTTGGAGCTCACTTAGTATCCACTGCTGCTTTGCCCCGATCTGGTCTCACGCCATCACCCTGCCCTGCTTCCGAGAAATCTCAAGAATGAACTGACCAGAAGAAGATCTGATGACCTTCCACCTCGGCGTCCACTGAGCCTTCCAGTATGTATCATTGTGGATGTTCTCCTCCTGGTATCACAACATACAACATGTTCCGTGAAGAGGTCCATTTCCTCCTGGATTGTGGAAGACACGTGAAGAAGATAAGTCCTTCCAGGTCTCATGTTGGTGAAGGACAATTCCATGTGGATTGAGGGATTCAATAGTTCATTGTTTCCCCGAGAACAGAGCTGGGCCCCTAAAGGTCCTTTCACACCGGATGTCCCTTAGGGTCCAACCC